CCCCAAAACCCCAAAACCCCAGAGTACTCTATTAAGGAGAATTTTCGAATTATAATATTTCTAAAATTATACTATTTAGCTAAAATAATAATTTTAAAGTCATTAAATTATATTTGAAATAATGAAAGTAGTAGATAAGAAAAGCAATATAACTAATACCTAGTATAAAAGAAACTTGGTTGAGGACAAGTGAGAATACTAGATAGATTTAACTAACTTTGATTTTGCTTACAGCTTATTTTCATCTGATCCTATTGTCTCAGCTAATATTGATAGATATGTATCAGTGCAAATTTAAGAAGTTAGCTTTATTTGGGCTGAAAATGGTGCTTCATATAATAGAAAATTCAAAGATATTCCTATTGCTAAATGCCCTGCTGGAAGATTTTTGGGTGAAACTGTATAAACAGACAATTTCGGACTTCAACATAACTATTATTGTCCAGTTGCTCTTAATACAACATTACAAGGAAACTTTGCGACAAAAAAAGCCAGATTTATTTAAATTTTATTCGGAGGCTGCAATTAGACTATACTTAGTAAAACAAACCCTAATTTGAAATGTGCAAATGAAACTGATATCAAATTAGTTTTAGATGACTTTGAAATGAACTTGTTAGCAACAAACTAATTTGTAGATGTAAACGAAAGAAACACAAATCCTGTCAAAACAGTTATTAATAATTTCTATTAAAGCAGCAAATAAGAATTGAGTCAAGGAACATTGTTGAAATTAGGATAAAATTTTCTAATTAAAAATACATCTCCATTATCAAATCAAATTGACTCAGAAAATGTAACTTACTACACGATAAGAGCTGATGAAAGATCAATTGGAGATTACAAAAAATTTTAGTCAGTAATTAAATATTATATTCTACTAGATGACAATATTTTAACAACAACTATAGAAGTTTACACTATCTCAGATGCACTCTCAAACACAGGTGGCATTATTGGAATTGCTTCAGTGATCTTAGCACTCTTATTGTCTAAACTATAAGAAAACTTATTTTATAAATCTCTTGTGGGCGAAATGTTTTAAATAACAAAATAAGATGCAATTTAAAGGAGTGTAGATAGCAAGGAAAAGCCTATTAATAATATTCAAAACTTGAACTCCTAAAAAATTGATATATCTGCTTATGACATTGAAAACCCCTAGAATAATAAAGAATATATAAGAGTTTTAACTAATGTTAAAAGTAGGATTAGATTTATATATACTGGGTGGGAAATCTATTGTGGCAGATTTTGATGCTGTAAGAAAAAAGAATAAAGAGATCTTTCACTTAAACGGATGAATCTTTTCAAGAAAGCCTAGAAAATGTTAGACAAGAAATTGGAGATCTTTACAATATTGAGAAATATTTAGATGGTTAAATTACTTAAAAGAATAACACTTTCAAACTATCAGAGAAAACTTACTCCCTATTTCAGATAGAATTTAGTTCAAATAGAAGATTGTAATTAATTGACAGATTTATAGAAAATGAATAATCTAAAGGTAAAAAATAAGATCATTCCATGCTCTAGTAATTTCGAAGATTTTGAATGGGAAAATAAAAATAAAAGTACTAGGAGATAGATTAAACTTTAACTTAAATAGGTGATACTTCGAAAAGATAAGTATAAAATTGACAAAAGAATCTTTAAGAATCTTGATCCAGAGCTATAAGTGGAAAATAAGGTTCAGACCATAAACTCATTTAAAGATAGCATTCTTAAAAATCTTAACAAAGATCTGAAAAAAGAAGTTAGTAAAGTCAAGCTTTGGAATGAAAAAGAGAATTTTCATACTCAAATACCTTAATCAGTTTTTAGCAACTACCTAAAGACTGAGTAGAAAAAAGATGTTTTATTGAAGGAAAATTGGGATAATTAATCTAACAAATCAGATATATTAACTTTAACCCATATTTAAAACAGACTTTCTGAATGAATGTGATTATTCCATCAACATAGAATAGATAAAAGTTTATTGATATTTTAGATAAGAAGAAAATATGTGATTAGCTATTTAATTATATTGATTTTATTTTGATAAATTATAGTAATACTAATTAGTTGTTATTTGTTAAATTTCAATAAAAAAATTGATGAATTTGCTGAAAAAATATGGATTTCTTTGCGGGGTTTTGGGGTTTTGGGG